TCGTTCACAGTGCCTTGTTTTATCAAGCTACATTTCTTTGTTTCTTCATCTGATCTCTTCCGGTGTGAAAATATTTTGAAATGGATTGTTAGCTCGACGAAGGAAATGGAAAATTTTATTTAAACAGAGATTTTCAGCGAAATACTCAGAATCAAACTTAATATCATGCATAGTAATAGTAACATAAATTATTTCATTATTAATTTAATTTAAACTATTTTATTATTATTATTATCAGGAAAATTTCTATACGTATATTACTATCTGTAAGAAATAGTAAAATTTTTTCTCCATTTCTTTACATCTTACATTATATTTGTTATTTTAACACTTTTACACCATCATAGAAAATTCTTTATCGCTATTTATTGTTTACCAGTGTAGTTACAGTTAATGATTTATAGTTTTAGATTTCTCGTAGTTGAGATTCGAAATTGAAAAGATTGAGAGATGAGTCGAGGGTTATTAAACACAATTGGAGTTTCTACAACAAGAATGTGCATCAAATTTTTCAATGAAAAATCAAGTATTCTCGTAATATTTTTTTGCTGTTTTTACCTCTTGTTTTTATTTTGGTTTTAGTGGAACTCGCAACAATTTTTGACGTTGTGCTGCATCCGACGTATTTTCCTCATTACGTCTGACTATCCATCATGCGTCTCGAACGTGCAACAGCGTGCACTCTTTATGCGCGATATGTAGCTCCGGTAGCGACATAAACTGAAAACGCAGTAATCCAACACTGTAATGAAGAAGTATCAATCTCGTACGTCACGTTGGGTAAAACATCCGAGTTTCCATATAAATCACTACGCAAAATGTGAGTGCGATAAGCATCGAAACGTGTGCCACGGTCCAATATCCGATATAAATTGTGCGAAGATAAGGTCATATAAAATATACTATATTGACGATAGCGTATTTTGATATTTGGATCGATTTGCTCGTACATACAATTCATGTTGACAGAATACGTGGATCACGTTTTTGACGTAACGTATATTTCTAATATAACACATTATTAGTTACTGCAGTATATATCATACTTGTGTAAATTATAATAAAAATATATAATTGCATGTTTATAAATTATTGTCGTAACTATAATTACGTTTAAGGAATTACGAAAATCTTAAAATAATACATGTTAATATCGTGCAAACAATAATCGTCATTACTATATATGAAAGAAATTTTCCAATTTCTTTCTCTCTCTTTCTTACTGTGTTATCAAAACGTATTTGTCAGCGCATGACAATATAACTGCTTTATATATAAAAATGCCACACTGACACTAAATATATTTCTTCATAAAGTAGCATGCATTCGGAATATCCGACACCATGCGCGCATCGTAGAGAAGAAATAACCGCGTAGAAGAGTATCGCGGATAAAAGATGTCTCGATCCTGTTTTCCTTCTTATGGAACAGAACGCAAGATTCATGACACTTTCTGAACAGCGTTTACGACTCGCGTCAGGTCGAATGGGTGATAATATTTTCCAAAGTTGTTTCGTGCTTTACGATCGCCAGCGCGCAGCGACGCAATGCGACGATTGTAGTGTGCGAAGAAATATACCAAAGGATAATCGACAGAAGAGGAACGTGTCGCGACCAAGAGTACGTCTACATACGACGTCGAGAAATAGATGGAGAACTAGAAAACGGGTCCCGCGGATAACAGAGTTTCATTGAGGTTTACGCGCGAGCTTGTTTTTTACGAAGCTATCCTTCCGACAAAGCAGTTTCTTCAGAATGCAAAAGACGTCGGGAGAAGTGAATACAAATTGCATGCGCATACGTATGCATGAAGATAGGATTGATCTCATTTCTCTTACACAAACGGGATTGCAAAATTTATTATAATAACACGGTCCGGTGTGTTCTTCGTGCGCGGCAAAGCGCGGATGCCGGACAAGTGTGTAAAAGTGGCAAGTAACTCTGCCGTAGGGTGAGTCGTTGCGTTTCGCACAGAGAGCACGATGACGGAAAATTCACGAGATAAGGTTTATATTAGAGCGGACGACGTATGCTCCTCGCGCGTTGCGCGCGCGTTTTCTCTCTCTTTCTTTTCTCTTTCACTATACCTCGCTCGTTCTCGCGCGTTCCCCTGGAAATGTCTCAAGACAGGGCGCTCTTGACACTTTTATCCCGTACATCTTCCTTACGAGGACGTTTCAGGAAAGAATATCTCGTCCATGAGGAACTTGTCCTCCCGCCGCGCGCCGTAGAGAAACGAGTAACGAACATGCACCTAAATTATGTGACACTTTCAATTTCATTTATATCGCCGTGAAAGATATTCATTTCCCAGATGATGTGTGCGAGATAGTGCTTTTGCTATGCATGCGATATCTTCAATTTACGTGGAATAAAATTCAATTTGAGTATGTTTCTGTCGTTCTTCGAAATGATTTACAATTAGTAATAATTTAAGCTACTTTTTAAAGTAACAGTAAATAACAGATTGGTAAGATTTTATTATCATACATAACGTTAAAATTAGTAATGATTAATTTTAATCGACAAAATATTAATTCTTAAACAAGTAATTATAAATTACAATTGTCAATTATATATTTTTTAGAGACGATATTTTCAACAGAATTAATCGTACAACTAAATTTTAGAAAGAAATGTGCGTGACTTGTATCTTATATATGTATAAAAATTAGAAAAGGCTTTTCACAAAAGTTGTTTCTCGTTGCCTTGAATCTGTTAGAAGCTGCAGCGGGGGAGTAACTTTAAAGTCAACTACCGTGGACGACAGCCTCGCGATCGCGAGAACCATCTGACGAACTCGTCGCTGAAAAGGCTCCTACTTCATTCGGCCGGTGAATATTGCAGCGGCCATTAACTCGGCGCCGTCTCTACGGCGGGTTTGTTAATTTTTTAGAGGCCTCGACGATCCCTTGCACACGCGCACACACACACACACACATTACGAGACCGGTGTACGTCTCAACAAGCAGCAGCGTTTCATTTGTCTCCTATTGTATATCAGGTCCTGTTGTCCGAAAAGGGTCGGCACCCTCTTTCTCTCATGTATTTATAAAAATAATTTGTCTTTGTCCAACCGGAATAGCCTTATCGTGTTGTCTCGTGAAACGTGCATGATTATTTACGAAACACAATTCTTCTTCGGTCTTATGATAGAATGGATTATGCGTGAATGTCTTATGTCTCTATCATAATTTATTTCTATCACATCTCAGACAAGCATTTCGCTGTAATAAGATCTGTCTTGTATATTTGTGACAAGTTCAATGTATATATCTTTTGCTTTTTAATATATTAATTCATCTTCTGTCATAAATATTAGGTTATTACATGTAAATCTGCATGTACAACAAAAGTTAAATTGAAATATTTAAAAATGCATTTGATGTCTATTTTTGAAATATGATACACAGTATGACGTAACATGACGTAAAATAAATAAATATATAAAGAAGTACGACGTATTATCTTTCGTTAACTGCATACTCGTATGATATTCGTAAATTTTAAATTAATATTTTTTTATTATAAATTATTATAAGCTTTCTATTTTTGAGAAATCAATCACCATACAAGTATAATCAGTCATTGAGCTTTCAATTATAAATAAACGCTTCATATCATTATGTGCAAGAAATAATTTCTATCCGTTCCGTTTCCATTTCCGTTCTGCAAACAAGATACGACAAAAATGACAGTTATGGAAGGTACGACTTGGCGGCGTATGCGGCAGAAATCACGAGCAGAGCCGAGAAAATAAATTGTGTACGGTAACGGGCAACGAACGAACGAACGAACGAACGAATAAACGAGTGAACGAAACGGCTGCCCGAAGGTTTCCCGTGAGAGCTGCAGTGTCCTGCGCCGACGGAGATATCCTGGGAGCGGAAAACAGCGAGCAACAGGATATTAAAGTACAAAATTCTATCACAAAAGTACGTTTTACATATGAGGTGAGATAAGAGATAGTGGTGCAATAACGCTGTCCCGCGTCTCATATTTCAGCTGATCTTTAACTACGAACAGAAGGCGGTACTTTACATTTTTCACAAGCCCAAAAGTTATGAGTGAAATTTGTCTTCTTGTTATTTCATTCTAATTGTAATTTACAGTATTCAATTTACAGTACACAATAAGCTGAAGATAATTGCTTGAAATAAAAAAAATAGTATACATTCTTTTATAATTAATGCTTCTCATCACACAAAAATGATTACACGTCGGATATATCAGCTGCATTTTTATGCCACGCTGGTGACTGACTTATCCTTTTGTTTTTTGTTGTACACATTGCATTTTTCTGAATATATCTTGCTAAATTTTAATATATAGTAGTTTTTATTTTGAGGTTGTTAATTACAAATCTGAAATTAAAATTTAATAAATCGAAATGACGAATTCAATATAAAAGTTATGTTAAAAAAAAAATTAATTATGGCTTATATATGTATGTATAAAATTTTATACGTAAAAGTCTTTTAGATTTCTGATATTAAACCAGTAGCCAACATTTAACAGTACAAAATTGCGGATCCAATATCGAAGAAATTTTTATTATTTTTTAATGGAAAAAATCTTGCTCTTTAATTATCAAGTAATATAAGTTAGGTTAGTTTTTAAAATTCTTACGTAAAAACATAGGAAAATTGCAAAGAAATAAGTGTTCAAATATAGGTACACTGTATATGCAACAAAGAGTCTGTCACCAGCCGGTGCCGGCGAGTATCAACTGTCAACTATTATTACTCTTCGCTCTCTCGTCGTTAAATCACAATAATCACATGTTTAAAGAACGCTACGCCACGGTCGCGGGTCGTCGCTACGCCACGGTCGTCACGTGCTTCTGTTGGAATGTAGAGGGGATTGGGGACGATGGAAGGGAGACAGACGGTATTGTCGCTCTTGGTAGTTGCTGCGTTCGCCGCTACGCTGCGTGCTTTTCTCGCGTTTAAGTTTCGACATGGAACTGTATATAAAGGCTGCAAAATCCAAGCATTGCTATCGCTTCTCGGCAACTTTGTTGCTAAGATCAAAGTGTAGTATCTGTTCTTATCAGCTTAATATCTGATACAGTCCTCATAGAGGACTCAGAATATTAAACTGATTTTTGAACCTAGGGGAGGTCTGGAGCTTGCTCCGACCACTCCACAGGTCGACTCGGCTTTGCAGTGCTGCTGAGTTTGGCCTAATAATACGAATAAAGCATAAAAATTTATTTATTTTTATATATATTAAATATGCTTTTATACCAACGGTTCGTGAAGTTGCTCTAAACCAAGCGAGAGGCTTATTTACGTAGTCAACACCCATGGGGTCTGGCAGACTCGAGCATCTTCATCTGCTCATATCTCATGCAAATATTCGTATTTTTTTATTTCCTTTTCTTTAAATCAAAATGTCAAAGCCGGCGTGAACTGCATAAGCCTCATTTTAAAACAATAAATAGAAAAAAGTTATAAAGGTTTAAAGTTTAAAGTAAAGAAGAATGTTTATATACCTAGAAAAATAATCTTTTCGTCAAAAATATATTATAACTAGTTTTTATATATATAGATTGAAAATAAAATTGTAAGCTGTTTGCACATATCGTTCTTAATAAATAAACATTAGTATTGTACAAGTTTATATAAGCTTGAAGAAATAACAATAATTTTGATTTTTTAAATAAATCTATTTTCTTTCATCCATGCCACACCATGATCTTCGTCACTGCATTCTATGCATCAGGTAGAACAGTGCAGGAAGAAATATCGCTAAAGGTAAATTGTACCTGCGAGGATTAAATCACGGGTGCACACGGGAGGAAAGTGCGCGAAACGAGCGGCTTGATAAGCGATACGCAAAAAGAGCAGGCGGTATCTCATGCGGATACGAGAGGCATGTAGCTAGTCGAGTTCGAGCATACGTCACGAGAGGAAATTACGCGTATATCATTAAATCTCCGCGAGCAAGAGATGCCGCGGGCTGTTTCCGGCGACGCGAGTTTCACGTTGATGATGTCTACGAGCAGCAATGCGATAATGTATTCCTCTTGCGCCGCTTATTTTTTCGAGATTTTGCCAGATTTGTTGCGATATTTTCTAGCGATGGTTTGTGTTTGCTTTCAAAGCAAAAAACATGTGATCCGCTTTATTACGTCTATTACTTATCCAAAAAAATATGCATATTGCGATACATTTATTATTAAACAGTTCTCGTGTATTTATTTCGTTATTTTACTAATTTAAGAGTATAGCGCGGTAAATGTTAAAAAATAATATTTTAAATGAGCGATATTCGTTTCGTTATCGTTACCTTTATTGTAACTTTGTGCTATCATTTTTGTACGTCAAGATTCCGAGAAATAAATTGACGCTATTAGACGTTTAAGTACTTCTTTACTTATAGTTAGTTCAAATCGAACAAGTAGATTCAGGGAAAGAAGATAACGGCGACATCTTATCTCTTGAGTAGCACTGAATTTTTTCAAAGATTATCATCAAATTGATATTTTTCCAAGAAAACAGGTCTGCGTCATAAAACGGTGCTATCGAGAATCCCGAGAGGCATTATCGATAACAAGTCACGGAAGTGAAATGTTAAAATTCAAAGAACGCCGAAGACGCCGCGACTGATCCCATTGACACCGACGCCATGCAGATTATGTGACTTCATCTTCCCGTTCTTCTCTCGAACCCATCTTATATATATCTATTACTTCGGCTTTCCTTCTTTCCTTTTCAATACCGTGAGCAAGATCGAGCAAGCCAGTTACGTCTCGAGCGTGGACTTTACGTACCGCAAAAATTTCCTCGATGCGAGCGATGCTACGCTTAAAGCGAAGATAGAAAAAGAAGGAAGAAACGACGGAGACAGGGTTTAATATTAGAGAGACGAGTAAGCTAGAAAATAAGAACGAAGAATGAGAGGAGCTTGTGCTTCCGCACGTTTTTTTTTTTCGGTACTGTCACGACACTTTTTGGATAGCTAATTATATGCTTCACTACGTACAGATTATGTGTTTGTATTATGTGTAAATTATCCAAGTGTGTTTCTCTTACGTTATATTCGATGATTAGATATATAATTAAATCTGAAAAAATAGAGTAATTGCTGGTAATGCCAATATAGAATCGCTTTCAAATTCATAACTTCATACAAATTTTTGCTTATATTAAGAAGATTGGAAGTAGATATATGGTATAAATATAAAACATAGACGTAATTTTATGTAATATAGTTAATTGTAAAATTCATATTATAAAAATTCATGTGTTTGATCGTCTTTTAGTAATTTACTATTGCTATAATGGATATGTATATCTATACTCTACTTGTCTGACCATGGCATCATTTTTTACTAACTTCGTTACATAGTTACATCTTCTCTGCTGATTACGCGTCTGATTTAGTTATATCTTTTTTACTGAACGTAATTGGAATATTTTCCTAATATACAAAGAAATTTATAAAAACTGAAATTAGTTTATCAGTTGTACAAAATAGTAAAAAACAAACTCTTTATTTAATTAATATTTTTCTTCTACCTAAGAACTATTCAAACATTTATATTAAATGGTAATTCATTATTATAATCTAATATTTTACAACAGTTGCCTGTTAAAGGCATTTTTTTTTTAAATTAAACAAATAAGTGCTGAAATTGTGGAGATAATGTTACGATGTTTCCATCGGAACATTTTGTACAAGCGTTTCTTCCTTTCTTTCTTCCTCCATCTTCCATGACTTTGCCTCCATTTTGGACCCTTGTTATTACAATATTAATGACTCGCAAATTGTAACAAGTTGCGTTCTATAACCAGCTGTTACACGTACATCGAGCCATGTTCCGAAATTAATTCCGTGCAGTTCAGTATCGATCGGCGTATAAGCTATGCTTTTTCTTCTGAAGCAACAATATCTGAGAAATTGTCTTGCTCAAAAAAAGCGTAGAAGATACATCATTATTATTTTTAAAATAAATTTTAGCAAAGTAAATAAATTATTTTGACAAGTTTTCAGATATTATTTTATCATTAAGTACAAAAGGACTTTTATTCTCTTCTCTCACTTGCTAGACTTGTAATTAGATCTTCCAATTTTTTAAATGTTTTTATTTTTTAGTAAAGACTAAAACTTTTGAATTCTTTAAAATTCAGTTTTTTAACTTCTTGCATTCATATAGATTCCTATATCTGTAAAATACTTCGAGCCCGTTCTTCAAGTCTTTAAATCCTAAGATTTTCGGCTTTCCTGGATTTTCGGATTCTTGGGTCCGTCACATATTCGACTGTGATAATAAGAATTGGCCTTTATTGTTTTCCAGCATGATTTGTAAAATACAACTTTTGCAAGTGCGCCCGACAGTTAGCGATAACAGTCTCGACATCGCAGTTGATTGTACTCCCGCGATTATTACGCAACGATAACTCGCACGCGCATTATTATAACGTCCTTCGCGATAACTGTCGGCATTACGCGTGCGAGATCTACAGCATTTACGGTTCGCATTTAATATACTCGAGAGCGGAACGCGGTGCGTGTGCGAAACTCAATGTAATATCGTTACACGCTGACGTTGGCCATCCACACGGTACGGCGTGTAATTTAATACCACGTCGCCGTAGTAGCGATGCCACGGGAACGCTTTCGAATGCATCCGCGGAAATATTCGCGCGAGCGAACTTATGCAGCTTTGCGATGACGCGCGTATGCGAGCGAAACGCGGTGTGAAGCTTTTTTCAAAATTTGCAGCGGGCTTTATGGCGACCGGTTGATGGCAGACGACGGACGCTTATTCTTTTTTTTTTCCGAATTTTTGCGAATCGCGCATGGTCGCGCCTGCTGGTACGCTTAACGGCAGTGTAAACGCGGTATATGATATAAATAAAAGGAAAAAGCAGCTGTGCAATATAGCTGAATTGCGAAAACGGTGAGATAACCGCTGTAGCAATATCGTGAATTATGATATTCCGATTTATGTATTATTCCAAAGACACTATAAATTTTGGAAAATCTACATTATAAATTTTGTTATAAAATCATACCATTGTCGGAGAGTATTACAAAAGAATATTAAAAATTAAAAAAAAATTGCTGCTTTGCTGGAATATATTAAAAGAAATTTATGATCGGTTCATAATAACACTGTAAAAAATGCAATCTACCTAGCGATGAAGAATTTAATGCGGTAATTCATTCAGTATAAAAGTGAGTATACTGTACTCTCTCTCTCTCTCTCTCTCTCTGGATGTTATAACTAGATTATATAATTTAATTTAATGTCCTCTTTATTTTCAGCTTTCGTCTCGAGTATCATTATTTACGACAAATTCGAATAATTTTAGTGAGATTATTTTTAAATAGATAAATCCAAAGCACAAGACGTGTATATGTGTATGCGGGCAATGTATTATATAATAATCCACTGCACGAATTAGCAAATTAGTCAACTATTAGATTATAGATATGTTGTTCTGTCAATTTTTTTACGTCAACTGTGATTAAAGACAATGTGAAAAAAATTTGACAGTATATAAATTTTCATCAAATTATTAAACGCTTTATTCAATCATTAAATTGTTTCAGATACGCTTTATCAAGCAGTAAAGCAGAAATCGTTACATCTGACTTTATAATACTTTCAATTAATATATAAATTAGCAAAAGTTTCGCAATATCCTTTGTGGTAAAGTTTCAGTACTGTGAAAAATACAGATAAATCTCTCAGGATATTACGCAGTCTCTTTCAGGCGGAAAATGAAGGTTGACTTTTTCCTGCGCAATTCTGCGGCTCTCTCCAATCTCGCGTAATGTAATTATACAAAAAAATTCCTTGGGCTACTCCGTGATGCTTATGCACAACTTTCTTGCTGGAATCGCCTAGCCGAGTTAAAGTAGAAAGATTAAGCATGATTCTCCATAAAGTTCGCGTATAGCGTTCTCGAATCTGTCCTAATTTCCGACACAACTCATTTTTCTCGTAAGAGTTTCATCAATGCAAAAGGCGACATAACTCTGCGTGGAGATTCTCAGGGATATATCTAGCGGAGTGCTCTGTAGATAGTTTTTTCTTGTTCCCTATGTATAATTATATACAGCAGCGGCCATAGAATGGAGCATCGGGTGAGAATGAAGCAGCCCAACTTCTCTCTGCTCGAGTGAAATAAGAGACGCGCAGAAAGTACGCGGAGAGGCTGCTTTCATACACCATTG